CAGGGTGATGTCGCTCACACAGGGTGATGATCGCTCACACAGGGTGATGTCGCTCACACAGGGTGATGATCGCTCACACAGGGTGATGTCGCTCAATGAAGCAATAAGGGAAACTGAGGCTTGGCCCACAGACCCTGTAGGGACTCAGGCTCCTTAAGGCACTCCTATCCAGTGGCCTACCTGGGTGGCATCGAGCAAGAACTCACCCTCTTCAAGTTTGTCACTGAAGGGTTCTAACCCAAAGACGGGGGGTATGACCTTTGTGGGCTCAGGGGCCTTGAGGAGGGCAGAGCCGCCCCAGAAGGGGTTGACGAAGGGCTGTGGGACATCGACATCGGGCCCCTCCGCCTCCTGCAGGCGCCGGAAGGACTCCAGAATCAGCAGGTCGTTGGTCTTCTTCTCTATGATAGCTGGAAGACAAGAGGGTCAAGGTCACGGCTGCGAGGCTGGTGGCCCCTGTTGTAATAGAGGGGGGATAGAAGTTTGTCCTCTAGATGTCTGCTTTTGCCTGGCCACTGGCTGTGAGACGTTCTGACCTTATCAGACACAGAAATATCAGTCTTTTTTTTTTTCCCCTCGAGACAGGGTTTCTCTGTGTAGTTTTGGTGCCTGTCCTGGATCTTGCTCTGTAGACCAGGCTGGCCTCGAGCTCACAGATCTGCCTGGCTCTGCCTCCCCAGTGCTGGGATTAAAGGCGTGCACACCACCACCGCCTGGCACGAAATCTCTCTTTTAACACACACAGGCAGAGCGGCTCATGGGAGCACACAGTAGGTCTAAGGCATTCAAAGCACCATGAGTGACAGTTTCTCGGAAAGCATGGTCCAAAAAGGGTTCCCTCGGTGTTGACAGCAAGGAGATCAAAAACCAGCAATCCACTATAAATGACAAGCGAGGGTAGCCTGACCTTCAGGCCTTAGTTCACTTATGCTGTTTCTTCTGCCTGGGATACGTGATGTGGGTGCTGGGATTCAAACTCAGGTCCTCTGCAAGAGCCTGTGTTTTAAATTTTAATAGCAGGTACCGCTTATGCCAAGCTGCCATGATCTGGGTTTTCATGTCCCCTCTACACCCTGAACTTGAAGCCAGACCTGGACATACATAAAGCAGTCAGCAAGCATTCACTACACACTGGGCCCCATGCAGAGTGCTTGTTTCCTCCCAATCAGGAGTCTTATCCTTTTTTCTTGCCTTATTGCCTTGGCAAGGATTACTATACAGTACTAAATAAGCTCAATGGGAGCTCCACCCTGGCCTACTTCCTAATCTTAGAGAAAAAAACACAAGGATCAAATATGAAGCGTGTGCGTGTGCGTGTGCATGTGTGTGTGTGTGTGCATGTATGTGTGAATGTGCGTGCATGCATGCATGTGTATAGGTGATAGTGTGCATGCTCATGTGTGTGCATGCTCATGCATGTGCATGCAAGTATGTGCATCTGTGTGTGTATGTTTGCATGTGCATGCACACATGTGTATATAGTGTTTGTATGCGTTTGAATGTGTCTTTGTGCATGTGTGTGCATGTATCTGTGTGCATAGTGTTTGCATGGGATGCCTGTGTGTGTGCGTGCACATGCACGTGTGTGTGTGTATACATTCATGTATGCAGGTGTGTGTGAGCATGTATGTGTGTAGTGTTTGTGTACGTGTGTAAGGAAACTCCCTTTTAGTTTCAGCTTTTCTCATTAAGGGCATTGGGTTTCAATAAACCCCTCTGCTGTGTCAACTGAGATCACCACCGACGACCCCATATTTAATCCTCCCAATAACCCAATGAGGTAGCTCCTGAGCTTACCCTCAGTTTGGAGGGGAAAGAACCTGAGCACAGAGAGGGTCAGGAACGTGGCCGAAGCCACACAGCTAGAAAGTGAAGAATCGGGGTTCGAACCCAGGCAGGGCTGCAGCACAGCCATGCTCACTACCAACCCAAGAAAGAGCTCTTGTACCTGGTCATAGAACATGCTGGAAAAGAGTTCCCAAGAGCCGGGTGGGCCCCAGCTTGGCTCACCGAAGTACTGCTGGAGGTTGATGTCCGTGATCTTCCCGGTCTCACCCAGCTTCCCCAGGATCTCCGTGGCGTCACAGTTAATCTTCTTAAACAGCTTTTCCACCGAGTTCTTGAGGTATTCCAGGGTCTTGCTCATCTCCTTGTATTTGTTCTCATAAATATCCGCCTCCTCCGTGGTCTTCCTCAGTTTCTCCTGGGGGTAGACAGAAACCAGGCCCGGCGTGAGGCTGGGGGCTCTCTGTGGAGGTGACTGGTGGACCCTAGACAGGTTTGCAAACCCCAGAGTGGGTATTCGGGTGTTCGATCAAAGGAATGAGCTTCCTGTCAGCGGCAAACAAAATTAAGAAAAAACGGACCGCTGGGAGTGTGGCTCAGGGGGTAGAGCACTTGCCTAACCCGGTGTGGTGTGCGTGCCTGTAACTCTTGCTCTCTGGAGGTGGGGGCAGGAGGATCGGGAGTCCAGGGTTATCCTTGTCTACATAGAGAGTTTGAGGCCAACCTGGGGTACATGAGACCCTGTCTCAAAAAATAAGTGATTGCAGGCCGGACGGTGGAGGCACACGCCTTTAATCCCAGCACTCGGGAGACAGAGGCAGGTGGATCTCTG